GCTCTACCACTGAGCCACACCCCAGCCCCTCACTGGGGGATTCTAGGCAGGAGCTCTACCACTGAGCCACACCCAGCCCCTCACTGGGGGATTCCAGGCAGGGGCTCAACCACTAAGCCACACCCCAGCGCTTCACTGGGGGATTCCAGGCAGGGGCTCCACCACTGAGCCATGACCCCAGGCATACCCTGAGGACAGACTCCTCTGGTGATGAAACTCAAAGGCACAGCAATGGCCACAGTGTTGGAGCTGCTGTGAGGAACAGGTCTAGGATGGAGACACCTTCTCCTGCTCACCTTCTCCTGTCGCCACTGCAGAGTAGTGAGGTTGAGCACCCAGAAGTCCCGGGTGACCCCTCCAGCTGTGAGGCCCCCCAGCAGGTACATGGCTCCCCGGCCAGCAGGCACGTAGGCAGCTGCGTGGAAGGAGCGGGGTGACGGGCCCGGGCCCCCATCCTCAGCTCCTGCCAGCATCTGTGTCCACCTGCGCTCACTGACTGAATACCTGGAGCCAAAATGCAAAGTGTCACCTCATTAAGCGGGGTCTCTGCACGGTTAGATGTCCCAGCACGCTTGGCTGATTTCCTGTGACAATCATAGTGACATTCCCAAACCGCCCTCCTGGTGCCCACAGTGAGCTTCCGGCCACGCCTTTGGGCTGGGTCTCACCTGGGCCAGGTGATACACATCTCAGCGGTCCCCAAAAGAGGCCGTTCTGTCCCTGGGGTGGACCTTACCTGTACAGGTTTCCCAGCAGGCCCTGGGGCAGGCCTAGGCCCCCAAACATCCACAAGGTGGCATCAGGTCCCTCTACCATGGTGTGTCCCAGGCGGTGCAGGAAGCGACTAGCAGTGTCCTGGGGGGGTGGGGAAATAAGGGTGGCAGAGGTCAGGCCAGGGTCCTGACCAAGTGCCAGGCCCAGCTGGGGGTTTCAGGGTGGTCTCAAGAGTGGAGGCAGAGGAGTGACCCACGGGACAAAGCAGTACCCTAACTCACAGCTGAGAGGCGGCTGTCCATGAGCGTCTCCCACACCAGCTGTCCACCATCCAGCCTTGTGGCACAGTCTGGGCCACCGAAGCCCTCAGCACAGATGCATACACCGAGGCTCTGCGGACAGCAGAATGAGGCTTAGAGGCGCCCTGGCACCACTCTACCACACCCGGCAGCCGCTGTCCCTCCTGTCCACCTGGCACCACCCCCACCACACCCGGCAGCCGCTGTCCCTCCCGCCCACCTGTACCTGGTTACAGATCCCTGCCCCACTGTGGGCATTGCAGTTCTCAGGACACAGAGCCATGCGGCAGTGAGGGCCAGCCCAGCCCTGAGGACATTGGCAGAGGCCAGCACCTGCCGCCCCATCCTGGGGCACACACTCCTGGGGGACAGGGCAGCTGCCAGGACCCCCTGATCCACATCGGGCGGAGCCCACGGAGGCATTGAAGCCCCAGGACGAGGAGCCGTTGGCCTCCCAATGCAACACAAGTAACCCTGTGGAGAAAGAGGGAGAGAGCCCGCTCTGGGCACTGTGGCTGCAGCTCACAGCCCTCCTGGGCGGAGAAGAGAGCCCCCCGCTGGGCTATAGCCCCGTTGATGGCGTGCTTGCCTAGCATGGGCAAAGCCCTGGGTTCAGCCCCCAGCACTACATAAAGCTGGTGCAAGTTCAAGGTCATCCTCAACTATGCTGTGAGTTCAAGGCTGGCCTACACTGAGATTTTGGCTCAAAAGAAGGAGGAAGAGAGGGCAGACACAGTGGCTTAACCCTGTAATAACTCCGTTACTAGGGAAACTGAGGAAACAGGATTGCTCGAATTGGAGGGAATCCTAGGCTTCACAGTGAGGTCTTCTTTCAAATAAAACCTCACTTTCTGGTACCCACAGGGCCCTAGAGATGGTTCTGAACTCAAGGCCTCCCACCTTTGCCACTTGTCCACCCCAGGCTCAGGCCCTGGCCTGCCCTCAGGGTCTGTCTACCCCAGGCCCAGCCCCTGCTCTGCCCTCAAGACCTGGCACTTGCTACTTTTCTACCTGGAGAAGCGGCCCCATCCCCGACCTTCTGCCTCTAGCCTGATTCTCCCCGGGCAAGGCCAGGGCCCATTCCCTCCCACGGCCACAGTGAAAGAGGCACTGTCCCTCTTTCACGTAGCCCTGGCTCGCTGCTAAACCCGCGTCGGCTCGGTGGGAGCCTCTCAGTCTCAGTGGCTGCCTCACGGTCTGGGGTTTCCCTTGCCTCCAGCCCCAGAACTGCTCTGAGTCACATGCAGAGAAGCACCCCCAAAGCTCTCTAAAGCACAGCCTCTCTCACATCTCCAGCCCCTCAGCCAGGTGGATGGCGAGGGCCGGCAAGCCTTGATGCTCCCGTGTATTATGCTATGAGCAGCAGGCTCTCTGTGTGCAGCTGCCAGACGACAGAGGACTCTCTAACCGTCGGTTGAGATGTCTCTAGAGATTGCCAAATGTCCCCAAAGAAGCAAACCTCCCTGGTGAAAGAGTGTGGGCTAACGAGATGGCTCCAGGTTCTACACCAGCTACAACGGAAGTGCCTCAAAGAGAGGCCCTTTCTCCAAGATCATCCTGGACAGCAAAGTCCTGTTTCTCTCAACAGAAATCTAGATGGAGAGAGGCCGCACCACCAGGAAAAGGACTGTCAGCTGCAACCCACGTCAGTCCCTGATTGGGAAGCTGTGGCCTACCCCCAGCCAGCGACAGGTGCAGAAGCACAGGCTACAAAGCCCAGTTTAAACAGTTTTAAGTTTAAAAAGGCTCAGAGCAAGAGCTGAGATGGAGCTCAAAGGAGAATGCTTGTTTAGAACCCACCAGTGATGGCTAGCGTGTGGCTCGGCAGGGGACAGCGCCCGGCACCTGAGGGACCCGGGTCTGGAGTCCACCCCCAGCACTGAAGGACGAGGAGTCGGCCTCACTCCATACCAGATAAAGCCTGCACGGTGAGGGGTCTGTCCCGCCGCTGGCCACAGAAGGCAGCGATGAGGCTCCGATCTGACTGGACCACACCAGTGTCCAGGAAGCGCGGGAATCCATCGAAGGCCAGGACGTAGCTCAGCTGAGGGCACAGAATCAAGAGTTCGGATCTGCCTGGAGGCTGGCAGAGGAGGAACATGTGGGATGTACCTCATAGCCTGGCTACACGGGGCGGGGGCGGGGGCACAGCTGGGAGCGCGCTGGGAGTCTACACAGTAAGAGCCCACAGCAGAGACTATGAGAGAAGGAGAGCAAGCAGCCCGCGTCCAGGAGCAGACTGTGCACAGAGGCAGACCGAGGAGTTCACAGCGTGGCGGCTGTCCCTCCCACCGTGCCCGAGCAGGCCCAGCTAATCAACCGGGCACTCTGGCACCAAACTCCACCCTCTTCTTTTAGACAGGGTTTCTCTGTGTAGCCCTGGCTGTCCTGGGCTCGCTTCATAGACCAGGCTGGCCTCGAACGGTCTGCCTCTGCCTCCTGAGGGCTGGGATTGCAGGCGCGTGTAAACACACACCGGTACATTAGGAGTGGAACTCACTGCTAGAGAATCAGAGCGTGCACACAAGGGAGGGCTGACCATGCCAGGTCTGGGGGAGGTGCCCGAGGGTCTGACGGCTGAGGCCGGAGCTCAGGAAACAGAAAAAGAACTGAGAACTGGGCGGCCTGAGTCTAGCAGGAAGGGCTAGGTGAGCGGATGAAGAGGTCTGGACATGCAGGCTCAAGCACAGCAGTGACATGGGGAGAGGCTCCTTCAGGGACCCAGGCTGAGAAGGGGACGCGGTTCTGGCCTGTACACCGAGCCCCCCACCCCCGGTGCTCACTGTGCAGGGGGTGCTGCTGTCAGGAGAGAAGGTGAGGGTGAGCGGGGGACAGAGGGTCCCCGGAGCACAGGGCTGCAGCTCTTCCGTGGCTGAGACAACCCACACGCAGTAGGACAGGCCAGGCCCTGCTCTTGCCGCCCCGCCACCTGGAGGCGAAAGTCCCCCAAAGCGGCGGGAGCCCAGCGCCACCGAGGACACGTTGGTGAGGAGGGCGCGGCCCCCACACTCCCGGAAGCAGGAGCCGCCAGCTCTGCAATGAGGGAAGGAGAATGTCAGACCGCTCCGTCTACCCCACGGGCCTCTCTGCCAAGCCCCACAGGTCCCTGGCGTACCGCGGGTCCCCGTAGTATCCTGGTGAGCAAATCTGACAGTGGGCACCCTCAGTATGGTCCTGGCAGAAGCAGAGCCCACTGAGGTTGTCACAGTGGCCACGGCGAGGGTCTCCATGCCCGTTGCACTGGCAGGGCCGGCAGCCACCAGAGCCTGTCGCGTTGCCAAAGCTGCCAGGCCGACACCGTTCACAGTGCTCCCCCCACGTCCAGTCTGTGGTTGTCCCGGCAGGAAGGACAGAAAGTCAGGGGCAAAGACTGAAAGGGGCCCAGGGAACCCGACCCAGTGGACCCCTTGCAAGCTGCTTCAGAGAAGGCCTGGGAAGAAACAGCGAGCCAGGACAGAGGGCAATGAGGCCGGGCCAGAGAGCCGGGACAGGGGCACGGGGCCGCAAGCACCACCTGAGGGGAGCCCGGAGAGGACGGAGCCGGAGCTCTGAGGAAGGGGAAGCCCAGGGCTGGCCGTGAGGCCCGGACCGCAGCAGCCTACCCTGACACTCGTCACAGAAGCCAGGCCCCCGCCTGTGGCAGTGGCTGTGGAAGTTGCAGCCGCAGTCTCGAGAGCAGCGGGGGGCGGGGGGTCCCGGGGCAGGGGTGGGCAGGGGCAGGTCTGAGGTCCAGCCCAGGTCGCACACACAGGTGAAGTCCGGTGGACCGCTGCACACGCCATGGCCACAGTCTTCCAGGCACCTGAGGGATCACGCAGTGGGAAGGGGCTGGTGGACCCGGAGCCCAAGCAGCCCTTGTGCCCACCCGCTCCACATTCTCACAAGCGGCTGCCTCTTTCGAGGTCCTGTGCTCTGCAAGTAAACTGTTCCCAAGGCAACCGGATCACGCATGGTGACGCGGTCTCCATGGAAACCCCACAGCTCCACTGCGAAAGCGCCCCTCCACCTCAGTTCTGAACCTGCGCGCACCACCCTGGAGTGCCCTGGCTCTGTGGTTCCTGGGGTTACCTCAGGCACCCTGACATTCTGCTGCGGTCCGTGTCCGCACGGTGGGAGCGCCAAGCGTTCTGGCACACGGACAGCCCACCTCCATGACGGCTTCCTCCCTCCCTGAGCTCCAGCCCCCAGACGATGTTTCCATGGCAACCTACGCTCACTCACGTGCGGTTACAGTGTGTGACGCCGTCGCCCTGGTAGCCACGCTGGCAGCGACATTCGTAGCTGAGAGGCGTGTTCAGGCAGGTTGCACGTGGGTGACACCTCGCCAGGCCAAGGCGACATTCGTCCACGTCTGGACAGCGGGCATATGCCCAGCGGGCAGGGAGAGCCCCAGGCAGCCCCAGGCCCTCTCCCACCCACAGGGAGCAGTTCCCCCCGCCCAGGGGTCCAGAGAAGTCTCCTTGTAGGCATCTGTGGGGCAGGATCAAAGGGGACAATACAGAAATGGGAGACGGCCAGGAGGACGGTGACAGCGATGGGGACAGTAGAGGACAGGGAAAGGAAGGAGAAAACAGTGAGGGCAGCAAGGAAACACGAGGGCAGTCGCAGGACGTGGGCATGGCAACGGGCCGAGAAGCCAAGAGGTCAAGAAGGTCACTGCGCAGGGAGAGCCCGGAGCCCACCCACGCGGCCAGGCCCCTCACCGTCCCAGAGTGGGGTTGTCCTCGTTGCCACACCAGCCACACTCGTGGCTCTGCAGACACTCGTGGCACGTGAGGAAGCCGGCGCAGCTCCTGCACCGTGGCTCCGAATGCACACTGCGGAGCGGAGAGCAGGGCTCAGAGCCTCCCGGAGCAACGCCTGCCCCTCCCGCGGCCCCGCCCGCCCCGCCCGGAGCCCCGCCCACCCCCGCGGCCCCGCCCACCCCCGCAGCCCCGCCCAGCGCCCACACTCTACCTGTCGTCCCAGCCCCGGCAGCCCCCGTGCGGGTACCGGGCCAGGTAGGCAGCGAACAGGAAGCAGGTGTGCGTGGACTGGCACCAGGCACACTGGCTGGAGTTGGCCAGGCAATCCTCACAGGTCAGGCGTCTGGGGGTGAGAGCGGGCCGGGTCAGGGACGCCGCACCCCCACGCACGGCCACCGCCTCCCAGCCCCAGCGGGGCTCACTGGCTGCAGAGCGAAGGGCATTCGTCCGGGCTCTTCAGAGCGCCTCGACCCCGGCCTCGCCGGCTGCACGCGGCGTCCCCTTTGCGGTTGGTGCTCTGATGCCACTCACAAAAGGGGTCCTGGGGAAGGACAGGGTCGGAGGTCAGCCCATCACCTGCCCAAACCCCAGCTGCCTCTCCCTTCTGGCCCTAGCCCACCGGCCAGCACCTCCAGGCCTCCCTCCCGGAAGGCCGCCCCCTGCCATAGCCGCCTGTCCGTCTACCTAGCTCTCACCCCTTCCTGAGTGACAGCAGTTGTCGGCAGTGAGGGTGAGATAAATTTAAAATCCTCTGGACCCAGAGAACAGCCAAGAGCCGTAGCTTTCCCGGCCTCAGCCACCATGGCAGAAGCCTACACACACCCTGCCTGGAAGCCCCCCACGGTGCCATAAGCCCCCCCACGGTGCTGCACAGCAACAGCCCAGCACCTGGGAGGCTACGGCAGAAGTATGAGTGGGAAGCCAGCCCAGGCTAGACAGCAGGGCTGAGCATGAGAAGGAGAAAGGGCAGATTTGAAGGCCACGGAACAGGACTCTGCTTGGGGTGACGGACAGGAGGGTCTGGGGCCTGTGGCCCCAGAAACAGAGCAGGGGAGTAGGAGCCCCAGCTGGAGCCAGTGGGCCTGGCGATCTGCTCCGGGCTGGTCGTGGTCTCTGTGGATAGGCACCCTCTTGACACTCGGTGACTTTTCTGCCCCAGGGCACAGCTGACTCCCGGAGCCCGTCCCTCCAGCCTCGCTCCTCTACTGCCCACTCAACTCCTGGAGACCGAACAACACCCCGCTCCCCGCTCTCACTCACACCCCGCTCCATCAGGGCCACCTCTGTCCCAGGCCCCCTTCCGGCTGCCTCGGGTATGGCGCAGCCCCTCCCTATGTGCTGCGGCGGGCACCTGGGTGCAGGCGTGGCAGTCGCGGTGCTCCTCACAGAGTGGACAGAGGGCAGGCACCAGCACCAGCAGGGACCCTCCGGCCCCATCATCCTCACAGTGCGTGCGGCCCTGACGAAGGTGGCAGGTGGCACTGCTCAGGCACCAGCCACAGCCCTGATCAGCCAGGCAGCCCAGACAGGAGGAGTAGGAGGCACAGGCCGAAGACCGGTAGGGCTCCAGGAAGAAGAAGGAGATTTCCTGAGTAGGGCACAGAGGACAGGACGGGAGTCAGGTCTGGAGGCTGAGGATGTGGAGGATGACTGTAGTTAAAGGTCTGGATTCTGCATGAGAACTACAACAGGAATTTAGGAAACTGCCACAGGAAAGGGACCAGGGTCTGAAGGACTAGAATCTCTACTAGTTTCTCTAGAGGGACTAAGTATAGAGGACAGGGGTCAAGGCAGAAGTCAGAGATGGACAGAGAACAGAATGTGGGTGGGGTTAGGAGTAGCTCAGAGATAGAGCCCCTGCCTAGAATCCCCCAGTGAGGGGCTGGGGTGTGGCTCAG